TTTATTCTTTTCATCCCATCTCAAGAGGGAGAAGAAGTGGAGTGAGTGACTGTCAGCAGGCAGAGGGGAATTCAGCCAGGTTTGCTTCAGAGCAGGAAATTCTGGGTGGGCAGGCAACCCTGTGCTGGGCTCAGCCTGAGCCCTGAGTAGGTGCTTGATTTGGGGTTGTTATCACTATTCTTCTTCACAAAGTTTTGTATACATTAAATATTCAAAGAATCATATTGTTTTGCTTCTAGATGGGATCTTTGAGAGTGTCTCCGTTAACCTCATTTTCTAATGAAACCAGATCAGAATGAAGAGAATTGTGCAGGTGGTTGTGCCGGCCCAGGGCTGGTTGCCTCAGGCACATGCTGCTCTAGAGAGTGCTTTGGGACAGTGGATATTATGTCTGCAGTGATACAGAATCTAGGCTTAGAACACTGATTCTGCTATGGACCAAAAGTACCCTTGAGCAATTTAACATCTCTACACTTTAGGTTAGTTAAAATTATAGTCAGTTGTTGCCCGACAAGTCAGTACTGAGAGGATTCCAGGGCACAGAGCAGGAGTTGGATAACTTTTGAAGTTCCTTGACCAAATAAAGAAGCTATTGTTCTTTACTCCCATCTGTTACTGATATGTTTTATTTCTTTCTTACCTCAGGCTCCTAGTGGTATGCATGAGCCGGTGGTTAGAAGCAGGGAGAAATACAGATGCCTTTCTAGACCCAACCTGGCTTTACCGGACAATGGCAGCTGAGCCAGGGGTGACCAGGTCCCTGAACTCTGTAGCCTAGGCTTTAAGGGAACCAAAGGAAGACAACCCCTTGAAGCAGATACATCTGTCACAGGAAACTTTCTCAAACTTTGGGCCTTTGTAAAACTTCTCTTTCTTTTCTCTGCTATCTCAGGGAGATAGCCCAGGGAGGTGTCCGGTCTGCCCTGGGAACGAGGACAGAAGTAGATAAAGTGAAGAAGAGACACCATGGAAGAGAAGTTGATTGGCCAGCTGAAACAGATGGAACCTGTGCAGAGGCTGCTCCCCAGCACTGATACTGTCAGGGAGGCCCTGCAGGCAGCTGTGAAGAGAGAGTGCTGGTGGACAGCCTGGGCAGAGGTGAGGAGACCAAGCTGTAGAGAAGGGATAGGCCCTGGCAGCAGCTCTTTCATCTGTTCCCCTGTTCCCTGTCTACAGATGAAATGGAATCTCAGGCTGTTTCAAGCTGAACAACACCCAGAAAGGGGCTGCAAGGCCTTTCTCTGTCCCTTGTACCACCCGGCATGCTTCATGGAGTACTTCCTGAAATTTGTCAGAGTGGCGACCTTTTTCCCTTTGCTTCCCCTTCCTATTTATTTTCAGTATATACCCTTCCCTTGTCTTCTATATTTTTCTTCTCTCCATCTTTCCTTTCTTCTACATGTATCACAGTTGGTGGCTTTATTCCTGTTTTTCATATTTCCCCCTTACTTCCATGGTTCTGCTTTTCTCTTTGTTTTTTGAATCTTGAAACCAGACGTCTATTTTTATGTACACAGACTCCTTGAATCTGTCCTGCTCTTTCAGAAGCCAGTCACCTTTGAGGATGTGGCAGTGAATTTCACCCAGGATGAGTGGGAATGTTTGGATGCCCGTCAGAGGGTCCTCTACCAGGATGTTATGTCAGAGATCTTCAAAAATCTGGTGTCTGTGGGTAAGAAGCCGAGGTTCTCTCAACAAATTTCTTATCCCAGGACCTTGTGACCTTTGGTTTCCCTGGGCAGACCAATCAGCTTACATGTAGCTTCCCTGACCCTTGGTTCTCAGGTGTGACAGATCTGGGTCAGAAAAGAAATGAAAGTCTGTGTGAAGGCCAAGGTAACACTTGTAACATGATAACAGTATTCTCAAAATGTGCAGATTTACTCAGTAAGTATTGATTAGATGAATCAATACTTACTGAGTAAATTTGATTCATCTAATCAATACTTACTGAGTCACTCCTGTTAAGACACTTAAAGTGTTAGGCACTTAGTTAGGAGCTTGCCTTTCAAGTGTCTTCCCCTGCATCTACATGTCCCAGATTATGGTTCTTAAACCAAAGATACAAAAGGAAGTAGGCTCTTGTCCCCATTCAGTGTAAAGAGGCCAAGCCTGGGATCTCAGTTCCTTTTCTCCTTCCCACTCACCCACTAGAATCTTTCTATCTAATCCAGATCTGATCACCAAACTTGAACAAGAAGAGAAACAGTGGAGAGCAGATCTCTGTCCCCCAAATGGAGAGGGCCTTTCTACAGGTAAGAAAGATCATCTGTTGGAGTCCCTTGGCTTCAAGAAGATGAATATATAAGCCATCAAGACAAGTGAATTATCTCCAGTTTCTAGAGACTGAGGCACTACATGTAGGTTGCTTATGCCAGTGATACTCTTTTGATGCAAGTCCTTTCCAAGAGAAAAGGAAAGAAAAAGGGATGAACTTGATGCCAAGCTGGAGTAGCGGAGACGTGTTCCTGAGAGTTGAGTAAGGACTTGAGAGAAACTGAATGAATGCCAGGCTAACTACCTCCTGGATGCCAGGACACCCAGTTTACACCTCTCATCTTAGCTTGATTTTTAATAGCACCTCCTTTCACTCATGCCCTTGTCTACATGATATGTTATGGCAATGAGAGGAAATGGATTTCAAAATATGTGGCAATAGGTTAAAACTTTAATCTGATATTGTTGAAAATCCCAGGTAAATTTTTATTTGCTTTTAATTTGAAAAACACAAAAGGTTACTCTTAACTCTAGCCCATGAGGTCCAAGAGTGATGCTGAATGTACTCATTAGAAGAGTGAGGGCAGGAAGAGGGAAGGAGCTTCGACTGAATGGTATGTTGGGGTTCTCAGGGTAAATCTTATTGTACTATTCTTGCTTATTATAGGAAGCAAGAAGGAGGAACTTCAAGAATACAGTCAGAGTTTGAGAGATGAGGACACCAGAAACAGGGGGTCAGGCCTGTCGTCTGCTCTGGCTGGGTCCATGGGCAGGACCCCAGTGTTTCCAGCATCCTGGGCTGGGCCACCCTTTCCCTGCCACATCTGTGGTAGGTATTTCAGTAAGCGCTCCAACCTCCATTACCATCAGTTTGTCCACAATCTTAAGGGGACGAACAACTGCAGCCAGTGTGGGAAGTCATTTCGGAACCCCAAGGCCCTCGGCTACCACAGACGCATACATCTTGGGGAGAGGCCCTTCTGTTGTTCACTTTGTGACAAGACCTACTGTGATGCTTCTGGACTGAGTCGTCACCGCCGTGTCCACCTGGGTTACCGGCCTCATTCATGCTCCTTCTGTGGGAAGAGCTTCCGGGACCAATCTGAGCTCAAACGCCACCAGAAGACACACCAAAACCAGGAGCTAGTGTCTGGGAACCAGAAGCATTTTGTGACGATTCTAGGTACCACAGCTGGATTCCAGGAATCCACTATCAGGAGCCAGGGGCTTGTGGCTGGGCACCACACATCAGTGACCAGGACCCAAGAACCCATATTTAAAACCAAGGGTCCTGTAGCTCACCCCCAGCCATCCATAGGTAGAAACCAGGAACCTGCAGCCAAGAACCAGGTGATTACTGTGAGAACTCAGACACCAGTTACTACTACCCCAGGGCCTGTGACCAGGACTCAGGCAGCCAACTGTAGGGTCCTCTGCCTGAATACCAGGTCCAAGTCTCACCTACCAAAGCCTTCAAGACTCAAGGTCTTCTCTTGCCCTTATTGTCCTTTGACTTTTAGTAAGAAAGCCTATCTCTCCAGGCACCAGAAGGCCCACCTCACAGAACAATCAAACTGCTGCTTTTACTGTGGCAAGTCCTTCAGCTCATCATCTGGGTTGGTCATGCACCAGCAGACTCACTGGAAGCAGAAGATCTACCGTTGCCCTGTCTGCGACATTTGCTTTGGGGAGAGGGAGGATCTTGTGGGTCACTGGGGGACGTACAAAGGCAAGGGGCTATGCTTGGGAAGTCCGCATAAATGCTGGGCTGTCCTGGGCCAGTGGCTTGGCCTTTTTCACAATGGCTCCCCTACGGCAGGGAAGGAAATGGATCTCCTAGGGTCCATACCCCCAAGAGAGGGGCGGAAAGGAAGGGAGAATGTATACAGAGGAAAAAAAGGAAATGAGGCAGGCATGGTCTCGGAACATAAATAAATGGCCTTTCTGACTGAGGCCTTTCCTTGTGTTTGGTTTTCCTGATGACCTATCGAGTAAGGAGGCTGGTGTAGAGGAAGAGAGGAGAGGACAGTCAAGGACATGCACAAAGGAAAGGGGACAGGAAGTGGTACATGGAAACATGTACATTAGCACCTTGCTTTTTTATTTGTGTCTCAAAAAAGATCAAGCAGTCATTGTTGAATAAAACTGGGTACCCTGGTAGGTATGAAAATGGGAGGAAAAGGGTGAGAGAAGGGAGATCTGAAGGACTTATCTGTACAAGTTGTGGGAGTAAAAGGGAAGCCTTCTAAAGCAGGTGGGTAGCCCAGGTTGTGTTCTTTGTTCCAGCTCCTCTGGGCTTCAGGGACAAGATGAAGCTCTGGCCAGTGCCTGTGGATTTCTCCCTATGTCCTCACTCTGCAGCTTACACAGCTCTTTGATGTTTTGGGCTCATCATGTTCCTTTTCTTCTACCCTCTACTCAGCCCTCTGGGGCTGAGGTCTTGGAAGTAACAACCACCATTTGCAAAGTTGGCATGCTGTATTTCCACAGAGGAAGTGTCAGAGACCCTCCTGTGCATTATTCTCCAACACAGGTGTCCGCCGATGAAAAGCATCTGTCTGACTTCCAGATGGAAGACAGAGGAGTTGGAAAGATGCAGGTAGAAAAAAAAAAATGGGGAGAGAAAGCAGCTGGGAAAAGGTAGATGACAAAAGAGGAACCCATGGGTGCATAAATAAGGTGGAACAACAGATCAGTGTTTATCTAAAAAAAAAAAAATGTTGAGAAAGAACAAAACCCTATTTGGAATTTAGAGCATTCCTGGAAGTGCAAGTGCAACATCCTCAAAGATCAATCTTTGGACCAGCCAGGCTTTTCTCCACTTTTGCCAAGATGCAAAATCACTCAGAAGGGGTTTCCTAGAAGGAGAAAATAACTTGAAAAATCTGTTAGTAGTTTCTATAATAAAACCATTAAACCAAGGAAAAATCCTCTGGGATCATCCTGTCTCTTGTCTGTCTCAATGGGTGATCTTGGAGCCAAGGTGTAGGGCAGCTGGCCCAAGGAGTGAAATTTTCGCCCAGGGGCACTGAAGATGGCAGTGCCCCCAGCTTCCATGCCTGCCACCTGTAAGGCTGGCAGAGGTGGCTCCTACCTCACAGGAGTCCCCCTTCCACCCATGCAGCCCAGCCCCTCCTTTCCTCTGGGATTTGTAACCCTCAATAGCCCTCTCTCTCTTGCTGCTTTTCTGTGTATGTGTGTTTGTTGTTGTTCAGCTTAATAGGAAGGAGGAGAAAACTTACTTAGTTCTTCAAGAAATTGCCCTGAAAACAAAGAGAAATAGGTGACTGGTGGAAGATGACTAGCTCCTTCTCTACACCCTCCCTGTTCAGATCCACAAGGACCCACCCTTCCCTTTTTACCAACAGACTGGATTCTCTGAGAAGCCTGCAGTTGGCCCTGGGGACAAAGGAAGGAAATCCCTGCATCTAGAGCCCTGGTTCATCTTTCCATTTCCCATTCTGGACCGACTCGATCCCCCACAGTTCAGTGGTCCTGTTTATCACCCCACCACTGCACCTGCTAGTCTTCGATGTAGCCAGTTGTAGCAGATGATCAAGGCAGCCAGGGGTCCAAGAACTGGCACGATTACAAACAGGGTTATCTTCCAGCAGGGCACCCTCAGAAAGTGGGGATCTGAATTGTCCACCGAAAACAAACAGGATTAACCACTCTCCTATGCCCCGCACACCCCTCTCCATAATGTACTGGGTTTCTTGAGACACATAAATCTCAAAATTTTTCATGTTTATCAACTTGAACAACATTCTAGTGGGGCTTGGTGTCCTCACTTTTCCTCCGAGAAGCCTTCCCTGATTAATCATGTACAGTTCTTTCTGTACGAATAACACCACCATAAGAGTTCAGTTGGTTATATACCTCTACTTTGTTATCCAGTTAATTCATGTATATGTATCATCCCCAACTAAACATCAAGTATTTGTTCAAAGGATCTGTTTATCTCCCCTTTGTATTTCCTGAGAAGAGAAATTGTGTACACAATTGTAATCCCTATAGAGTGAATTAACAGGTGAAGTGGTTAGTACACTGGAACACAAGTGTGGTATACATATTTACCATTATCCTAGATGCAGGTGACTTAATTCAGAGAAAAAGAGTGGGAGAAGACCAACCGGGAACCAGGGATCTTTACTTCCCCAGGTGACTGGAACCAGTGAAATAGCTGACCTGGGAGGACCAGGTACCCCAGCACTTACCAAAAGTCCTGTGAAGATTCTCTGAAAGGAACAAATGGAAAGAGATTTAGAAGGCATTCAAAAGTGATACTTTTTCCTGAGTCTTTGTTTTTTAAATCACTTAAAATTGTTTCTAGCTGGCACTATGTAATAGGAGGCAAACTAGGATTTTGTCTATCCTGGCTCAGCAGGGAAGATAATTGAAATTTTCTACCATTCTGAGTTGCTTTGGTATTTTAAAATAGTAAATTTCCTGCCTGAAGGAAACTCATAGTATTGGGACAGAGGCAAAAGTGTTCCAAGAAAATGACCATTTTTGTCATCCCCAAAACCAAAAGGGAGGGATTGAGGAGGGAAAATGCCTGGAACTCACCTATCTCTGCTTGAAGTTTTCCTAAAATAGAAAAAGGCAACATTTTTAGTTCTTGCTCTGGCACAAGTTGGGCCCTCACATACCCAGTGCCCTGGGCCTTTGTGCAAGCTCTGCCTAGCTCAGGAGCACCCTTTGGATGGAAAGAGCACCGGATTTGGAGCCATGAGTTCAGGTTGTTTTCCTAGCTATTTATTGTTTGGATTAAATACTGGGATAAGGAATGTGGAGAACCTTAGGTGGAGAGCAAAGCGGCAAATCAACAAGGTTTTATTATCTTCCCCACCCCTCTTTGCTCCTTTTCTTGGTTTTTCTCAGTTTTCATTGCCACTTCACCCTGCTGGAGTGTCACTTTGTAAATGTAAAGCCACTTCCCATTTGAACAAGGAAGTGAGGAACTAAACATTTAGTTGAACAGCTACGTTTGACTGGCTCTTTTCTAGGCACTTTACATAACATTGTCCCCTTTAATCCTCCCTTACCATTTAGGAGGGAGGATGTGACTTGTACTTGGTGGGACAACTGAGCTGGGATTCAAACCCAGGCTGCATAATTCATTGATCAGGTTCTTTCTGCTCAGCACGTGGAATGAAGGCCTTCTTTATGTGGGATGAATTCAAGGGAAGAAAAGAGCCCCTATTTTTGATGCCACCAATGTCCCCTCTCCCCCTCACTTCAAGCCCTCCTTGCTGCTTCATCCTCTTAGGAGTGGGAGGGGCAAGAAGAATTCAGGGTCCTGGCGCGCTTTGGCTTTGAGAACATTTCAAAGCCAAAGGGGTGGGGTGGGGGTGGGGGATAAGGCCAGAATGGAAGCTTTGGGCACATAAGAGGAGCCTTCATTGAGAGCTAAACACAGAGTTTTTAGTGAATGAAAAAGGAGGAACTGGTGAATACCTAGTATGTGGTAAGGATTTTTACTCAGTATTTTTATTTAACCCCCTAATAGCCTAGACCTGTCTGACTCTGAAGCTTACTCCCCCAGGTATGTGAATATGCTCCACATGGTGCTAGGGCCAGAAGATGGGGCTTAGGCCTGAGCTCTGCTACTTACAAGCTGTCAGGTTGAGTAAATCAGGGAACCACTCCAGGCCTCAGTTGCCTTCTCTGTGAAATGGTGCTATTATATGTCACCCTACCTCCTAGGCAGATGCAAGGTCCTATTTTTACACAAAAGCATTCTGTACTGTGTAAAACCTGTCATGGAATTCGAAACCAAGAAGTCATTAAAAATAAATGTTAGCTGATCAAGCTCTAAGAGGCCAGCTCATTTCAGGGATGGGCCCCAAGCTGTCCCCACCAGCCTGTACCTCTCAGTCTACGCTGCAGGCAGAGGAAGAGCAGGCCTGCGGCCAGCTGTAGGAGTAACGCAGGAAGGACTGCCATGGCAACCAGCACTCCAGGACTGATCCAGTAGAAGGGATCTGAAAGCAGAAGTGCATGGCCCAGTGCTGCATGCCTACCCCCCCCACCCCAGTACAGTGCCCACAGTGAGATAAATCAAGTTGAATAAAGGAATATCACCAAGATTCAAAGAAGATGGCACAGAATTGATACCTGGGCTTAGTCCTGAAGGAAAAGAGGGTTTCTAAGAAGGGCTGGAGGTTAGAACAACAGCATTCAAAGTTTCATATTGGGCTAGTCTTGGAGAGTTTTGAGAACAAGCTAAGGGACTTGCAGCTAATTGTTAAGGCTAAGGGAGTACACTGACATTCCAAGCTGAGGAGTGATAAGACCTGGTTACTGAGTACAGAAGGAGGGGATGCCCCAGGGAAGTCAGGAAAGAGGGCGTGGTAATAGTAACAGTAAAAACAGAAGCCTGAACTAGGGCAGTGGTGAAGGGGGAGGAAGTCAAGGGGTCTGTGAACTTAAAGAAGAAAAAAAACTTTTAGTAACATTTAATCTGAAATTAAGTGTTTCTTTCAATTATAAACAACATACTACAATAATATGAACAAGAACCAGAAATATTTTCATAGCACATTGAGTTATAGAAATCTCAAAATATCACCTATGTTCATCATCACTTTGAAATTGCACTAATTATCAGAGCCATCTCATATCTTGATATTTTAATATTTTGGTAGCTATTTTAGTACAAATGTGTTTTATTTTACATATTTAAGACATCCTACTGTGAAGGGTCCATCATCACAGTCTGCCAAAAGGGTACAAGGTACACACAAGGGTTAAGAACCTCTTTTCTGGAGCTTTTGAGAAAGGAAGATCCACAGAATTTAGTAACTGAGCATATGTGGAGTGGGATGGGTAATGAGAGAGACGGTTCAGACCTCCAGTCCCTACCTTCTTCCCATTCTAGAGTCTGCTCAGCAGTGCCCCCAGCTCTGTCTGTCTAGTCTAAATGTGCCATGCTGCAGTCCAGACTTTCTCATCTTGCTCTCTAGGGGGCTGGATAAAATACTGCCATCAAAGTTAAGAATTAAATCACAGCAAGCAACATTAAAAGGGTCAGGAGGGCTCTGGCCAGGTAGCTGAGTTGGTTAGAGCATTGTCTGGATACAACAAGGTTGTGGGTTTGATCTCTGATCAGGAAACACAAGAAACAACTAACAAATCAATGGTTTTTTTCTCTTTTTTGTCTTCTCCTCTAAAATCAATAATAAGAAAAGCTCATTTAAGAAATAATAAATGGGTCAGGTAGTTTTCTTAAATATAAATACAAGCATAGAAGAAAATGCAGCAAAGTCTATTTTCAAGTTGTTATCTGAAGTTACCTGTAATGGCATAGTTAGCAAGCATATACATTATTAGTTCTTTTTTTGCACAACTTTTTTGTCTATGGCCATACCGCACTGAATGTGCCCAATACAGATAATGTGCTATGGTGTTGCACACTTGAAACCTGTATAATTTTATTAACCAATGTCATCCCAATAAATTGTTTTAAAAAAGGGTAAAGCAGAGAAAAGAATATGTTAAAAATTATAACCACAACACTATTACCACATTTTTTTTCATTAACAAAAATTTCTTAATATCATGAATATCCAGTCTGTGTTCAAATTTTTCTGATTGTTTCACAAGTATTTTTACATTTTATATTTTTATAATTGGTTTGAGTTGAATTCAAACAAGGTCCACAGTTGGTGTTTTCCCTGTGGTGTTTCCCATGGTCTACATATTGCATTGTACCAAGTCAAGTCTCCTTCTGTATGTATGTATGTATGTATGTATGTATGTTTTAAGTGGTTATATTTTTTTTATTAATTAAATTTATTTATTTTTTTGAATTGATTATGCTGTTACAGTTGTTCTATTCCCCCCTCCATTTCCCTCCACCCTGCCCCCCCAACCCCACCATTACCCCCCTTTAGTTTATGTCCATGTGTCTCAAGTCCTTTAGGTTCTATATTTCCCAAACTATTCTTGCCCCCCCATCTATTTTCTATCTACTGTCTATGCTACCTGTTTTCTGTACCTTCTCCCCCCCTCTCCTCCTCCCATTCCCCTGTTGCTAACCCTCCTTGAGATCTTCATTTCTGTTTCCACTCCTGCTCTAGCTGTCCTTTTAGTTTGCTTTCGTTTTAGGTGTGGTTGTTAATAACTGTGGGTTTGTTGTCCTTTCACTGTTCATGTTTCTTTATCTTCTTTTTCTTAGATAAGTCCCTTTAACATTTCATATAATAAGGGCTTGGTGATGATGAACTCCTTGAATTTGGTCTTATCTGAGAAGCACCTTATCTGTCCTTCCGTTCTAAATGAAAGTTTTGCTGGGTAGAGCAATCTTGGTTGTAGGTTTTTAGATTTCATGACTTGGAATATTTCTTTCCAGCCCCTTCTTGCCTGTAAGGTCTCTTTTGAGAAATCTGCTGACAGCCTGATGGGGACTCCTTTGTAGGTGACTGTCCCCTTAGCTCTTGCTGCTTCCAGGATTCTTTCCTTCATTTTAATTTTGGCTAATGTAATTATAATATGCCTTGGTGTGTTTCTTCTTGAGTCCAACTTTTTTGGTACTCTCTGGGCTTCTTGGATTTCTTGGAAGTCTATTTCCTTTGCCAGATTGGGGAAATTTTCTTTTATTATTTGTTCAAATAGTTTTTCCACTGGTGGTTGTGTCTTTCCCCCTTCTGGTACCCCTATAATTCGGATATTGGAGCGTTTAAAGATGTCCTGGAGGTTCCTAAGACTCTCCTCATTTCTTTGAATTCTTGCTCCTTGACTCTTTTCTGCTTGTCCATTATTAGCTTTCTTCTGGACCCTTGCATTGATTTGAGTCCCAGTTTCCTTTTCATCTCTATGGGATTCCTGTGGAATTCCATTCATTTCCCTTAATTTAGCCTCCATATGTTTCTCTAATTTGTGGCTGTAATCCACCAAATCTGTGAGAAAGGTGATGACCAGTGTTTTAAACTGTGCATCTGAGAGTTTTGCTATTTCTTCGTCATTTAGATTTATCTCTGGGGCTTTGAGTTCTGCCTGCGACATTTTTGGTCTGTTCTGGCCCTTTAAGTGGGACAAGCGGCGCCTTGGAGTCCCAGGTCGCTGGGTTGTGACGCTGTATGTGGGGGTGTGGTCAGAGCGGGAAATGGCCGCCGCCGCCGCCGCCGCCGCTCGCCGCCGCCGCCGCCGCGCGCCGCCGCTGGCTGGTCCAACCGCTTACTCCCTCACTCGCGCGCAACCTGGCAACCACAGTCAATTCGTTGCCACCGCCTCCCCACTGTGTCGCTCCCCCCGGTGGGCTGCTCGGCGGCTCACCAGGTCCAATCCTGGGTTTGGAACCCGCGTAACTGGATTGGCGCGCCGATTCCGCGCCGGTCCGACCGAGCCCTCCTTTGTAAGTCCTCACCGGACACTGGTTTCGCACCTTACCGGTCAGACTGAAGAATTTGTTGTTAGCGGACTTTATATCATTTTTTAAAATCCTTATCCAAGGCCCTGACTGGTATAGCTCAGTGGATTGAGCACGGGCATGTGAACCACACAATCGCGGTTCGATTCCCAGTCAGGGCACATGCCTGGGTTGCAGGCTAGTTCCTAGCAGGGGGCACATTGATATTTCTCTCCTTCCTTTCTTCTTTTAAGATAAATAAAATATTTTTTAAAAATCCTTACCCAAGGATATTTCCATTGATTTTAGGGAGTGAGAAAGGAGGAATGGAAGAGAAACATCAATGTGAGAGAGAAACATTGATTAGCTAGCTCCCATACAAGCCCTAACCAGGGATCAAACCTGCATCTTAGGCATGTGTCTTAATCAGGGATCGAACACACAAACTGGGTATGTGCCTCGATCAAAATTAAACCTGCAACCCTTTGGTGAATGAGACTATGATCCAACCAACTGAGCTACCTAGCTAGGGTTCTCGCCATTTTTTTAATGTCATTTATTGATTTTAGGGAGAGAGAAATATCAGTTTGTTGTTGCACTTATTCATGTATTCACCAGTTGATTATTGCATGTGCCCTGAACAGAGATTGAATCCCGCAACCTTGGTGTATCAGAAGGATATTCCAACCAGTTGAGCTACCCAGCCAGGGCTCTTCCTGTCACCATTTAACTCATCCCTTTACTCTCTCCTACCTGCCTCCACCCCAGTAAAGTATTCTTATATTTGAGTGATACGCACTTAAGGATTTAGCAATGAAATGATAATGCTGCCTAGGATTTTCCTCAGTAATTCAGTTGGGGAGGGTGGTAGGTAATAAGAGGGATCAGGTAAAACAATTTATTTTTTGGTCATAACTGCTGCAGGCAGTGATGGGTACTGGGAAGCTCATTATTGCTATTTTCTCCACCTCTGTATATGTTTTAAAGTTTCATAATGAAGAATTTAAAGAAAGGATTAGAGAAAACTATTAATAAAATCACAAAAAAAGAAAAAATAAGGTCAGAGAGACAACAAAACTCTTTCGTGAAGGAGGGGAGGTAATGACATCTGAAACTTGCAATAGTACAGTTATTGCATTTTAGTCCTAAATTTGCCTCAGTTTTCTGGCTTCCCAGGCTAGGTGGTCCATTGTTTACTTGTGAAACGCTCTTTTTATAGGCTCTTGGGCATGCAGACTATGAGATGGGAGGAGAAGAGCTGAAATATGGAAACCAATCCAAAGGAAAAATTTCTCCCCTGAGGTAAAGTTTTTACATTACTTTTTTTTTTTTTGGTGTGCTGGGGGTGGGGGTGTCCTGGGGGGCAGTTACTGAACTAGGAATTTATTGAACAGGAGGGGGGAAAATCTGCAAACTAGAGAGGTCTTCAGTATTATACTTCTTTGCAGGTAAAAATCCACGCCCTCCTCCCCTCTAGAAAAAATTGCTGTATGAAGAACATTCTGTGACACACAAAGCTATTCATATCCCTGCAGTCTATCTCTAGAAATAGTGCTTTGTTATCCTGCATACAATGCCATCATCTGGTCCCAGCCTGTAGCAGTCAGCTTCGAGATACAAAACTGACCTATTGTCTGATGTTTTGCCACAGGTGGGGAGGAGGGAAAGGAGAGAAAGGGAAACAACTGAGGCTTGGGCCCTCAGAACATTTTTGTCCTTCAATTAGATAGCAATTAACTTTCACCCTGGCTGGTAGTTCAGTTGGTTAGAGCTTCATACAAATATCCAAAGTTGTGGGTTTGATCTTAGGTCAGTACACATACAAGAATTGACCAGTCAATGTATAAACAAGTGGATTATCAAATCAATGTTTTTTTTTTCTCTATCTTCCTCTCTCTCTTAAAGTTAATAAATAAATTTTTAAAAAATAATAATTAACTTTGAAAACTCCCCTTTCACCCACTTCACCTTGTCCATAACTTAACCATCCTGGGAGAAAACAAACAAACAAAAATAAATTGCAAAGTCATCCATCACACAAAACATACTGAAAATGAAACTCTGGATAAATGGAGTAGTGGGAGTAAAATCTATAGGTGATATATATATATATAATTCAGATATTTGTTTTACCTGTTTATTCAGTTCAACTATGTTTACCAAGAATATATTTTTCAATAATGTTTCTCATCTAACAAACACATCAACTTTGGAATTCACTGTAATAGGATTTGGTCAATTTGACTCTTCACGAATAATCCTCTCGTTTATAACAAGTAAACAAGGACATATTCCAAAGCGAAAAAATCCATTTGCAAACTTTGACTAACATTCAGGTTATTCATATTTCCCTCTAATAGCACACACTAATCAGGAATTGATTATTTTGGATTTTGTTGCTTCCATTTATCACTTTTTTCTATTTTTCTTTGTGTTTCTTTAAAATATTTAAAAGATTTTTTCTTTATATGTACCCACAAATGTACATTTATATACATTTTATATGTGTGGATAAATACGATCATAAGATAATTATGGTCTTTTCTTTTATGATCTTTGATTGGACCACACCCCATTTTCTTCTCCTTTCTTTCCCTAAAGTGAACTACGTTAACTTTCTTATGGATCTCTCCTCATATTTTTCTCTGAGATATACATAACATATCCACAAACATAAGGTTTTGTTTTTGTTCCCTATATTTGTAGCTTGCTCTTGTCACTCAACAATACCTTGTGGAATGCCATCTGTTATAGACCTAAAACAATCTTTTTAACAGCTGCATAATATTCTCAGTATGGATAAGAACATTTATTCAGTCACTTCCCTACTTGTGGTCATTGACTTTCATCCTGGGGTCCTCTTCCATTTTGAATAATAACAGCATACATCTGTGAGTACATAAATGCTTCTGTTCTGATGTACATATTTCTATGAAATTGACTCCCAGGAGAGAGATGTTTGGGTTGAAGAAGCTCATATCAAGTAAGAGAATGATTAAAATCTCAGAAGGAGGTCTTGGTCACCCAACAAATGATACCCAGTAGTATATATGGCACTACTTACCTTCCACTTTCAATTCCATTGCTGCCTCCTCTTGATAAGAATGATCTCGGAAAAAGCAGGTAAAACCTCCTTCATCTGAGAACCTTACATTCCTGATCCTGAGGGTCACTTTCCCCTCACCAATACTGTCTTTCAGCAACTCCGTCCGGCCCCGATATTCAGGTGCTTGATCTCCATCCTGATCCTTGCCATTTCGGTAGAGATGAACCACCCGAGAGAAGGGGGGCCGGTACCATCCCACCTCCATGCCTGTAGCATTCCTTCCAGGAGATAATTGACATGGCAATTCCGCTTCATGCCCCACCAGAGCCCAGATGGGATACCCTGGTCCTATTACTCTGAACTGTCCTGTCCAAGACACCAAAGAAAAGAAACTGAGCATCAGCATGAACATTGACAAGCCTGTCATGGGAAGGACTGATTCATAGCAGGAAAAGAAGAAGATACTCAGTTTTTAAATTTGAATACATATTTTAAATGGTATTCTAGAACAAGAAAAGAGCTTAATATTTCTTCTTGAATATTTATATAAATAAAAGATCTCTAGTTATAGAGCTATAAAGAGTGCCCTGAACAGAACATTCTAGCATGTGGTCACCTTGACAGTTGCTGCTTACCTCTCTGCCAACTGTGTCTGTCCCTGTTCTTCAACCCAGCCTTTAGGTCCCACTTTGAACCATGGTCTAGTTTCTAACAGTTTAATTCTTCATGGGCCTCCCTGTTTGGACTTGGCCAAATTGATCCCTACTCTCTGCTAGAGGTTTTACTTTTGTCATTCTTCCACTGGTGCCTCTCCACCACTTCTCAGGCCTCTGTCCTTGCTCCCAACCTATTTCCAAATTATTCTCCACTGGACCTTGCACCCTGGCTGTCGCTCCATTTCCTTCTTTTTTTCTTCTGTACCTCCAGCCCTCGCTACAGCTCCTGGACCCCACCCCGTACACACTCCCAGTCTCATCTGACATGGAATGTGTCTCAGATTCAGGGCTACTAGAAGATGAGGCTAGTTTCCCTATTTGCCTGCAAATGTTCCCTTGGGGAGGAGTGCAGGGACTGGGCCTCATCTGTCAGGGGCTCTCTGAAGTTGGGAATCTGTCCTCTGTTTCTTTTATTTCTCCCCAGCACATGAGCACAGGGTACCTCTCCAAAAACTTATTATGTGGATTATCCTGATCATGTGGAACAGACCTCTCAAATGTGAGAAGATATTATAATCCAAGAAACATCAATTGCAATTTACTATGAGATAGGCATTGCTAAGCATGTTATCTACCACATCTCACTGAACCCTGTCATCAACTCCAAGAAATTGTTATTATATCCCTATTTGGTAGGTGGGAAATCAAAGCTAAAAGATGGGTAAGAATGAGTTCAAGGAGAGCCTGAAGTTAAATTAGGGTTCTGCTCTGAAAGCTATAGGTAACCATGGAAGTTTTCTGTGGAGGGGAACAATGTCAGCACATCTATGTTTCAAAAAGATAATTTGCATGGTAACTTGAGGATGAATTCAAGGAGGTGAGTTTAGGAAAACTAGCCTTTCTGTTCTCAGGGACTCCCAGGGCAGGAATAAAGATCAACCTTACCTGCATCACTAGAAGACAACTGGAGGAGGAGGAGGAGGAGGCAGGGGAGGCAGCTGGGTAGAAAGGAGCTCAAGAAACTTGCCATCTCCACTCTCATTGGGGACACAGACCCCCTGCAGCAGGGTCAAGACAAGCAGAGACCGCGGGGTACATGTTCCCCACTGCTGAAAAAGCCTGAGGAAGGATCTGGGAGGGCAGTGCTCTGGCCTCGCCTCCTCCTGGCATGCTGCAGCTGTGCTCAGAGGAACACTCCCACGTCATCCTTGCCAAGCACTTACACAAAAGGGCTACAGACCTAGGCAATGATCAGGGTTTGCCTTCCCACCCCCTCAGAGCTACAGAGAAGAGGCTGCCTGGTACCGGGCCTTCCTCCCCTACTCCCTCCCAGTGACCCAGCCTTTGAAGGGGCTCCCAGGATCTGACCATTTGGAATCAGGACTCATTGGATTTCAGACTTGTCCAGGTGGTGTGTAAGGCTCCTTCAACCCCTGTCCTCCCAGTATTAGCCAAGGGAGAGGGAACATTGCTGGCCATTAAAAGAGAAAGAACCTTTATTCTTGCTTTCTTCTTTCTACTGCCTCATAACTAACTGCCCAGTCATTCTTCATGTCTACCTTTCCTTTCTCCTAACTTGGACTTCAGGTCTCCTAAGTCCAACTTCCCTTCCTTATGTTCAGATGCATGATGGGTCACGTAGGCTTAGTAGCTTTCTTGCTTCCAAAGAGTGCATTTAGGAAAGTCATGGGTTTGTAGGGAGGAATAAACTTTACCCTCAAGGTTCTTTCAGCTGGGCTAGTAATCAAATCAACGTGAGAAGATTAGCGAGAGAAAAATGACAAGGTTTAATTACATTCACATGTATGGGAACCCTGTATACATGAGAGAGCCAGAGACCCTGTATATGTGACAGGTTCAGGGGCAAAAAGTTAAAATGAGATGTGTATGGCATTCTGAGCTAGGGCTGAGGTAAGGTGTCTCAGGGACTTTAAAGGGTTATGGCAGGATGACAAGAACAGCAAATGTTTAGTAATCAGGAGTTTACCCTGTCATATAGATAGGTAAAAAGGGTTATCTTTGATAATCTGTTATTTTGTACACAACCCCTAATTAAAATACTTCTAGGTAGTTAAGGGGGAGGACAGAAGTTTCTCTTGAGCCCACAGGGTCTTGGTTTGCCTTTAGGTCAAAACAGTCCACACACACTAAAGGCACATCTGGTGGTGATGTAACAGGGAATAAGAACTTTATATTACTGTGGCTTATCATGAAATAGAATTAGAATAAGATGTACTAACAAACTGATAAAAAGAATTTTCTTCCTAAGCATGTCACAAGCACCAGCAGTTCCGGTTCCCGCACATATTCAATACAAGAAATGGCCTTGACCACAACTTCTGTCAATGCAGATCACCCAGCTGCAGGAATCTGGCTGGCACTGACCCACTCCAGTATGCTGGTATTAAAGATTCATATTGGGACCTGCAAGGACACTGCCTGCACGTCCACAGCCTCCTTCCCCCCCCCATCTCTTTGTTCTCCTTGTCCCTCTCCCTCCTTATAAAAACCCCATTGAGATGTTAAAATGGGCTTTGAGATGAGAGTTCATCTTCCATGTTGCTGGTACCTGAATAAAACCACTTTCCTTTACATCAGCTCCTGTCTCTCAAGTATTAGCCTTTGAAATGACAGGCAGCTAGACTCGTGTTTGGTTACAGTGACTCCTCATCCTCTACAAGTTGAACATCAGAAGTTGATGGCCACCTATGCTGAGAGACAAAAGCATAGAAGACTAGCAAGGTCAGCAGCTGTCAGTCAACATAGCCAAAGAGGACAAAGCCAGTAACTAGACATGCCCTTTAGCCTTGGCACCACTCTGATTTCCTCAGTGTCACAGGGGAAAGTGAGATCTGCAATGGAAATAGAATAGGTTTTTTCTCACCTTCTGAGATCAGCTGATTACTAAAGGATGATACCAGAATCAGCACTAAACTTGAAAAATATATTTCCTAATCTTAAAGAAAGACTGTCTCATTAAATAACACAACAGTAATAATATAATGTGTCAGATAGACCATTTAAACCATGCTGTCTAATACAGTAATCACTAGCCACAGTATCCATTTTGAATTAAAATTAAATAACAAAAATTCAGTTCCTTGATTACTCTAGCTGTGTTTAAAATGCTCAGTAGCACATATGACTAGTGATTACCACATTAGACAGCACAAATATAGACCATTTCCATCATCACAAAATATGACACTGGGCAGCCCTGACTGGTGTAGCTCAGTGGATTGAGTGCGGGCTGGTGAATGAAACAACTGCGGTTTAATTCCCAGTCAGGGCACACGCCTGGGTTGTAGGCCAGTTCCCAGCAGGGGACGCACGAAAAGCAACCATACATTGATGTTTCTCTCTCTCTCTCCTTCTCTTGCCCTTTAAAGATAAATAAATAAAATCTTTTAAAAAATTACATTGGGCAATACCATTCAAGGGCTAGGAACATGACTGTATGTAGATTTTTGTCTGAGATGAGCACCAGGGGCTAGAAGAAAAGACTCTAGTCTGCTGGGAGTTGCTTATTTTTTCTCCCTGCAAAGCAGCTAGAGTTTGAGCACATGCAGGTTGGATACTGAAGGTATGAGAATAAAACTCAAGGTCAGGAGGGCTGAGTCAGGAGGAAAGAGGAGCTTCTGTGCACTCCTGAATTCCTCTAAAGTAGAGAAGATTCTCTCCTCCCAGAATTTAAAATGTTCTACAATGCTCTTCTGTGCTGCATGTTCAGGTTTAGGCAGGAGTGTTCTGCACAAGATGCTTTCCTGGGCAGTGTTTGGGGGTTATAGGGTAGAGAAATCATCCAGCACCAGTCCAGTTGTCAAAAGCTGGGTAAGAGATCAGAATGGGAGGGTTGGGTAAGCAGAGAGGGTCAGGAGCTAGATAATCAAAGTCAATTTGGAGAAATCACAGCATCTTTGAAAAGAAAAACAAAAAAACTCAGGCGACTGAACACTTCCACATGCCACCATCCTAAGCTGTTTACGTGTGTTAGTGGCAAGAATGGCACCAGGTATTAGATTGGTAGGGTCATACTGGACCTTGGTTCAGCAACCTCGGTACCTGAGTTCTGGATAGGAAAGAGTTCAGAGCCAAGACTAACTATAAGAAAACATTTATTTAGAAAGTCACAGAGGTAGAATAAGTGAGTGGTAGAAGAAATGGGCTCAGGAAACAAATTACAGAGGCAAAAGAAGGGTCCTTGAGCTTAGAAAAGAGGAGAGTAAAGGTAACACCCAGGGGGCAAGTTGAGTTAGGGGAAAGGCTTGGGCATGCTCCTAAGAGTGAGAGTGCTGGATTGTTCCTCCTAAAAGATTTTAAGGGTGCAGATCTTAGGGGAGGATCTCAGTATAATATTCATCAGCTTTCCAGGTGTGTCCTTTCAGGGGCATGGTCTGCATTGATTGGTGGTACCAAGGTAGGAGGTCATTATTCAGTGCAGCTGGTCCTTATGTCAGTCCTGGCATCACTTGTCTGGTTTTGCTGCTTTTCTGGGCCTGGAGTTGAAACACAATTGAGGCCTAGATGTATTTGTTGTGGGTTCTGACCCACATTAAGCTCCCTGTCCTGGAGCTTACTGCTTAAGGGCTGTTCTCCATCCTCCTTGTTTGTACCTGCTCCAAGGAGGTCTAACCCACATGACTAGCAATATGCCAGTGGTAGAAAAATCAGGGGAGGTCTGTATCACATGACCAGCAATATGAAAGGCAAGGGAGTCTAAACTGCATGACCAGCGATATGCTAAGGGAGGAAAGGTCCTCATTTTCCAGTATTGCCTGTTGCTAGGCACCCTGGGCTTTCCATCCTAAAGACCTTCTATACCTGGCCTATTGTCCTAGCTCTGCTCGTATGTGTCTAACTGCCTACCACACATGTATTAACTCATTTTACCCTTACATCATTAAAACAAATTGCTTTGGCTGGTGTGGCTCAGTAGATTGAATGCTGGCCTGTGACCCAAATGGGTTGCTGGTTCAATTCCCAGTCAGGGCACATACCTGGGTTGCAAGCCAGGCCCCCAGTAGGGGGCTTGTGAGAGGCAACCACACATTGATGTTTCTCTCCCTCTCTTTCTCCTTCCCTTACCGTTTCTTTTAAAATTAATAAAGATTTTTTAAAAAAGAATGCTAGACTGATATCATTCTTGTTTTATGGAAGAGAAAACTGAGGCACAAAAGAAGTCACTTGTTCAAGGTCACACAACTAGGGAGTGGTCGAACTTGATTTGAAGCCAGGCTTTGGAGCTTCTTCTAATGTGCTTTTTTTAAAAAAAAGACTTAATTTGTATTATTTTATTTTTAATATATTTTTCTAATTTTTTTATTTATTTACTTTTAGAGAGAGGGAAAAGGAGGGAAAAAGAGAGGGAGAGAAACATTGGCATGTGAGAGGAACATCAATCAGTTGTCTCTGGAACACACCCTTACTGGGACTGAACCTACAACTTGGGCATGTGCCCTGACTGGGAATTCCCTTTTGCTCTGACAATCGATGCTCAACCAACTGAGCCACACTAGTCAGGGCATATGTATTTTGTTTGTTTGTTAGTTTGTTTTAAGATTTTATTCATTTTTAAAGAGGAAAAAGGAGGGAGGAAGAGAGGGAGAGAAACACCGATATTTGAGAGAAACATTGGTCAATTGCCTCTCGCATGTACCCCAACTGGGCCTGCAACCTAGGCATGTGCACTGACTGGGAATTGAACTGGCAACCCTTTGCTTTGCAGGATGATGCCCAAACAACTGAACCATGCTGATCAGGGCTTCTTCTTTTTTTTTTAACTTGGTGCTTTTCCAGGTACTTGTAATGACTATACCTCTCATGTCTAAAGAGCTCATCTCATTCACCTCCATGCCCTCAACTCAGATCTCTGGAAAGGAGGTGAATACCTGGAGTTAAGGCAAGCGGTTCTTTGGATGACTAATCTTTGGGCAAAGGTGATATAAACAAGGGAAGAGGAGAGGAGCCACCAGAAAGAACTAATTCAGTGGTGTTGTCATTTATAGGAAACCGGGGTGTAGGAACATCCATGTGTTAGGCATGGAGTATGGCATAGCTATGTCTAAGGAGAACTGCTTGTGTGATCAGGGCAGGTTATTTCCTTAGGGTTAAAT